GACCCGCGTATAGTATCGAGTCCTAGATTCGCTAGAATTCTGTGAGATACTTACAGGGACCGCATAGATCTGAGTCTAGGTACGGAATTCTTGTGAGTAATCCCACTACAAGGACCGCGATAGATTCGATCCTAGATCTGGAGGAATTCTGTGAGTATACTCTATACAACAGGACCGCGTAGATCGAAGTCTTAGATCGCTAGGAATTCTGTGAGTATACCATAGCAGGACCGAGTAGATCGAGTCTAGATTCGTAGGCAATTCTGGGAGTATACACTCAAGGACCGGCTAGATTCGAGCTAGATCGGTAGGCAAATCTGTGAGTAACTCTACCAAAGGACCGCGTAGATCGAGTCTAGTTTCGGGAGGATTCTGGAAGTATACTCTACAAGAAACCGCGTAAAAGATCGAGTCTAAGAAATCGTAGGAATTCTGTGAGTATATCTCTACAAGACCGCATAGCATCGAGTCTAAGATTGGGTAGGAATTCTTGCGTATACACTACAAGGCCGCGTAGAATCGAGTCCTAGATTCGGTAGGAATTCGTGGTATACCTCTACATAGGACTGCGGTAAGATCGAGTCTATGATTCGTAGCGAATTCTGTTGAGTAATACCACTACAAGAACGCCGCCGTAGATCCAATCCAGATTCGTAGGAAGTTCTGTGAAGTAATACCTAGCAAGGACCGCGTAGATCGAGCTAGATCGGTAGGCAATTCTGTGAGTATACTCTATCCAAGGACCCCGCCCGCGGTAGATCGAGTCTAGATTTCGTAGATTCTGTGAAGTCATCATAAGGACACCAGCCTGTGGCCTAGATTCCGGCCACAGGACTCATGGAACACAGCCTATAGATTCTAGGATATCTGATCAGTTGAGTCAGATTCGTAGAATTCATAGTTACTTATCAGGGTAGATCCGAGTAAAATAGATTCGGTAGGAATTCTGCTGATATACTCTTATAAGGACCGCGTAGATCGAGTGCTAGACTTCGGGTAGGCATTCTGTGAGTATACATTACAAGGACCGCGTAGATCGAGTGTGATTCGGTAGGCATTCTGTGTGTATACTCACCAAGGAAGCGTAGATCGAGTTCTTAGATCGGTAGAATTCTGTGAGTGATCACGTACAAGACGCGTAGGATCGAGTCTAGATTCGGTAGGAATTCTTATGAGTTATACTCCCGCAAGGACCCGCGTTATACTCACAGAATTCCTACCGAATCTAGACTCGATCTACGCGGTCCTTATAGAGTATACTCACAGAATTCCTACCGAATCTAGACTCGATCTACGCGGTCCTTGTAGAGTATACTCACAGAATTCCTACCGATTCTAGACTTGATCTACGCGGTTCTTGTAGAGTATACTCACAGAATTCCTCCCGAAACTAGACTCGATCTACGCGGTCCTTGTAGAGTATACTCACAGAATTCCTCTCGAAACTAGACTCGATCTACGCGGTCCTTGTAGTGTATACTCACAGAGGAATTTGCTCCGCGTACGGCTCTGTGTACGTATACGTACAGCAAGCGGCTATGAACGTGGGGATAGGGAAGCAGCAAAGCATCAGAACTTTCAGGAGCGTGCGTGCATTACGATCGCTGTCGCGTGTACAGCCTGTCTGTTAACTAATGCATGCCTCGTCCGTTTTGCTCGCGTTTGCACCCCACTAATTAATCATGAACTTAAATCGCAATTCTTTGATATCCACCAGAGTATTAACGGGATCTGGATTGTCCCCTCTATACGAGTCACGGGGAATCAGTGCCTAATAATTTCTACCCCAGAATTGCGCATTGTGTACTGCTAATCTCCTTTCCAAATTTCCACTCTATTTTTAAAAAGTTGCAGTTGATACAGTAGAAGAGGTTGGACGAGAATGGTCGCGGTCTCCGATCCAAGATGAATTACCAGTGATTTTCCATACAGAGTTACGTTTCAGCGTTCGGTTAGACCTAGTGCTTAATGTCATGGCAGCTATGATAAAGTTCAATTCGTGCAATCTATGTGTGCGCACTCATGGCTGGCTCATTCTGGGGAACGAAGAACTACACTGATAACACCAACACTAACACGAGCCGTGAGTGTGCCGCCCACACACGAGCCGTGACATAAAGTATTACAGCATTGCAGTCGACTGTGTTTTTTACCATCGCTGTATATACGTGGCGGATAGCACAGGCAACTGCTGCTAGCCGGATAGCCCATCGCTCTGCAACAGGCAAACGCGAAGCGAATGGTTACGACCACAGGCACTTGGAACGTCTCAATAAAAAAAGGTAAATAAACACGAAATGTATTTACTACCAAGGTTTCTCTACTATCTCGCTATTTCGCCGAAATAAACTCTTTTATTCTTGTTGTTTGTGCACAGGGCGTGCGTGCGATGTACTTGTGTGTTGCAGATGAGCATTTGAACGGCATTTACAGCAAGTTATCGACAATAATAGGCGAAATAGAGTAAAGAAACATTAAGACTGGTAGTAAATACATTTCGTGTTTATTTACGTTTTTTATTGAGACGTTCCAAGTGCCTGTGGTTACGAGGATAGGGCTCGCGTCTACGCGGCATTACGCGTATACCAACCTGCGTCCCTTATTGAAGTAGCTTTGCGGAGGTGCAATATTCTCCGACTCATCGGACAGATGAAACGATACGCGGCGGGCTACATACTTAAATTTCCTGTCGTCCGCCTCCACTCCTGTGACGAATCCCAACTCGGACAGATCTGCAACGAGTACATACGTCAACGACGGGTGCGTAGATGCACGAGACACACACACACGCACACACACACGCACGCACGCACGCACACACACGCACACACGCACGCACGCACGCACACGCACACACACACACACGCGCACACACAGGAAGAGAGCGACAGCTCTGAAGATAGCGATAGACAGAGAGAGAGAGAGAGAGAGAGAGAGAGAGAGAGAGAGAGAGAGAGAGAGAGAGAGAGAGAGAGAGAGAGAGAGAGAGAGAGAGAGAGAGAGAGAGAGAGAGAGAGA